CGGGGAGCGGGCGGCCGAGGAGCCGGGGGCGGCGGCGCTGCTGCGCGAGCCCGTGTACAACTGGCAGGCCACCAAGCCCACGCTGAAGGAGCGCTTCGCCTTCCTCTTCAACAACGAGGTGCTCTGCGACGTGCACTTCCTGGTGGGCAAGGGGCTCGGCGCGCAGCGCATCCCGGCGCACAGGTGGGCCGCCGCCCCGGGCCCGCCGTCCTCGGGCCCCGCCGCCCCGGGTCCCGCCCGCACCCCGGCCCTGCCCCCCAGCCCCAGGGCCCTGGGACCCGCCGCCCCGCTCCCCGGGCCCCGCCGTCCCCCGACCCTGGGATTCCCCCCCCCAACACCGTCCCATCCCCGGGACCCAACCGCTGCAGGGACCGGCCACCGCCAGGTCCCCTGAGCCCCAGCGCTCCTGGGACCCACCTTGCCCCAGGCCTGTGACCCTGCCAGGTCCCCATCCGCCCCTCAGCCCTCTGATACTGGCCATACCCTGGCCCTGGGACCCCCCCCCACCCCCACAGCGGACTCCTGCCCTCCAGACCCAGCCGCCCCCACCATCCTGTCCCGGTGGTCTCCTGCACCAAGTCCCCCATCCTGCCCCGCTGGGGACCCTCAGGCCCCCACCAGACCCCCTCACCTCTTGAACCCGGGAGCCAGATTCCTAAACCGCATAACCCTGTCAGTGATCCCAGTTCTGTGACACCCCAGCCCATGTCTGCCCTGGCCTCCAGGCCTTGTCTCTGTAAAAGGGGGCATTGTTGGCCCAGGTCCGGCCCCCCTGCCAGTCTTCTGGGTGCAGCCCCCAGACCCCCAGCGGGGTGGGACTGATGTCAGACCCCCCCCATCCACTCCTGGTCTTTCTGACTCTGCTCCCCTTTGCACTCCAGGGAGCTGGGGTGGGGGTGGGGGGGCCTTGCTGGGAGGCCTCCATTGGGAGTGGGGGGTGTCTTGCCAATGGCCTGGAATGTTCCACAGCGAGCGATCCTCCCAGCCTTTCTGACATGTGGCCTTTATTTAACCTGTGTCTTTGAGATGTTTCTGGCTTTTTCTTGGTTATTTATGTGCAGCTGGATTTAGATTCTGTCTGCCGAAGGTTCCAGGCCTTTGGTTGGGTCCCCGGGACCTCCCTCCCCCGTGTGCGTGCAGCTACATGGGCTTCACCCCTGCTGGAGTAGGGGGGCTGATGCATGTGCGGGTCCCTCCCAGAACCCCACACCCCGCCCCGGGCCTCCCGCATGTCCATCCGATCTGCTCAGCCCCGACTGGCCTTTAAAGCTGTCCCCCCCAACCCACCCAGCTTTGGGGAGCGCATGGAATGAGCAAGGTGAGGCCTCATGAGCTCCTGCCCGCCTGACCCACGCCCTTTGGGGATGGGGCCCTGTGGATGCAGCTGGAAACCCCACGGGGTGGAGGGGCCTCAGGGTTTCTGCTGCAGGGGAGTGACCGGCCGCCTCGCGTGCCCTTAACCTTAGGACATGTACTCGAGGGTCCGTGGCTGTTGGTGGTGAAGAAAGGATGGGGAAGGTGGGCATGGGACCCCCAGAGAAGTCCCGGAAGGGTGTGGCGTGGCTGGGGCTCCACGGAAGGGCTGGGAGCAAGGGCTCTGGTGGGAAGGTCAGCCTTGTGTGGTATTTGGTGAGCTTTTCTGGGAGCAGGAGGGAGATGTGGCCCGGGGAGAGGACGGGCGAGGGCAGCAGGGATCCTAGCCCTGAGCGAGCGGTGCCAGTGCCGAGCGGGGCGAGGGGGAGGGGAGGCCGGGGGACCAGAGGGGCTGGGCACGCAGCAGGTGCAAGGGGGCACTGTGGGGCAGGGGGACAGCGGCTGCTTTGAAGGGGGGACCCGGCTGTGGGTGCAGCCTGCAGGCGCTTGGTGGGGACCCTCGAAACAGCAGGTGCAGGTCCTCTCCCTGGCGGGCTGGGGTGGCAGCTTGGTAGGGGAGGAGAGTGGGGGGCTGCAGTGGTGGGTCCCTGGACCTGGCTCCAGCATCCTGGGGAAGGACAGGTGTGGCAGGGATTCGTCCAGGGCCAAGACACCTGGTTGGGGGGAGGCAGTTGGAGGCCCTGTGGGTCTGGGGTCTGCAGCGTGCGGGGACAGAGCCGTGGGAGGGGTGGGGCAGCCTGGGAGAGGTGTGGGGAGGAGAGCAGGGTGGTGCTGAGGAGTGGCCGTGAGGAGCCGCCCCGAGAGTGGGGTCTGGGCACAGGCAGGGTGGCCTCCTGGCAGACATTCACCTTCAGACCGGCCCTCCTGCTGGACTGTGGCTTTCTGCACCGGCGGCCACACGAGTCCCGAGTCCCCAGGGAGCCTGGGCCCCCAGCTCACCTTGCCGGTCCGGGCAGTGTCCGTTGTGCCTGGGCCCCAGAGGCTCCCAGAGCACGTGGGTTTGATTGCCAGCCAGGGTCCGGGTTGGGCCGACGGCACTTTTCTCGTCCCCTGTGCCCTGGCATTGACGCCCCACTCTTTGGCCGCTACTGATAGAAGGTTCTAGTTCTTTTTCTTTCTTTTCAGCCTTTGGGTTGTGATTTTGTGCGCGGGGGTGAAATTTTCCCGCAGTGATCATGTGGGTCATTGCCCGGCGAGTGGCCCGGGGCGTTCTGGGCCTCGGTTTCCCTACCTGTGAACTGGGTCTGACTGCTCGGATGCCTCCACCCTGGGACTTCCAGGAGGATCGACTTGGTGACCCCACCAAGTGCTTATCGCAGGGGTCCAGGGTGAGCGTAAATAGAGGTGGGGACGTAATCCAGGGCATGAGGTCAGCAGGCCAGGGGCCCTGTAGGGAGGGGCAGAAGCTCGGTACCCCGAGGCCCCACTGGTGTGTGCTGGTGCTCCCCGCCCGGGCCCAGATCCTAGGAGGTGATGGTAACCTCATTGTGGGGAAACCTGGCACACACACACAACCCCCGAGCCAGGGGTCAAGGTCAACTTCAGGGTGATGTTGAGCGTCTGTCAGGGACTCCTGATGGGTCAGGCCAGAAGGGCACCTCGCCTCTGTGTTCTTCCCCAGGGTTGTGGGTTGAATGGTGGCCCCCGAAAAGGCATATCCACACCCCAGTGCCTGGTACTTGTGAATGGGACCATATTTGGATAAAGGGTCTTTGAAGATGTGGTGAAGTTCAGGGTGTCAGATCACCCTGGACTGTCTGGTGGGCTCTAAACCCAGTGACAGGTATCCTGGGAGACAGAGGAGAAGCCCCTGACCGCCACAGAGGCAGGCACTGGAGCCCTGGGGCCCCCGTGGCTGGAGGAGGCAGGCAGGACCCTCCCCTGCAGCCTCCCAAGGGCCCTGCCGCCCCTGCACCGGGGACTTCTGGCCTCCAGGACTGGGGGAGGGTGGGATTCTGTTGTTGAGATCCGCCCAGCGTGTGGGAGACCAGGGTCTCCAGGCTGATCCCAGGACAGCCCCCGACAGACCCAGATCAGGCTCATGCGGCGGGATGCCTGGCCAGGCGTCCTGGAGACTGTCAAGGTCACAAGAAGCAAGGAAAGGTGGAGATCTTGCCGCGCGCTAGGGGTGCCTAAGAGGGTGGCCAGATGCCATGTGGGTCCCTGGTAGTGTCCTGCCACAGAGGGCGGGGTTTGTGCCCCTGCTGAGGCCCACGCCAGAGGCAGACTGGGGGAGGGGCTTGTGCCAACCTCGAGGAAGGCCACTCGGGCTGGCCCACCCCCTGCCCCAGGCTCAGGTGGGCATGGGCTGACCTAGGGTGGGGGACAGAAGGGCCCTGGGCCCTTGTCCGGAGGCTCTGCTTGGCCTTCACCCTGTCCCCTTCCCCTGACGTGTCCTAATCTGTCGCACTTGCCGTTGACTCGCTCCTGTCCCTCCCTGCTGCTTTCCAAGCCCAGGGAAGGCCGGGCATACAGTAGGTGCTCAGTCACTGCGGGGCCGCTGACCTGCCTGAATCAGAGGTCTCGGCGCTGCGGAAGCCCTGGGTGTCTCACACTCCCGCAATTGTGGCTCAGATGCCCCAATTCCTCCCGTCGTGGAGAACGGAGCCCTGCAGGGAGGGCCCGCAGGGAGCGGTGTGTGGGGTCCGGGGTCATCGACTGTTCTGCTCCTAGAACTTGGTGATGACTGGCCGTACCGTCTGGAGAACTGCCGAGGCCCTTGTTCTTTGTGGAGACTCTGAGCTGGTCTCCCGCTGACCCTTCTGTCACTGATCATCTCCCCACCCCGCCCCCCTCCAGCAGACAGGGACGCAAGGCGCTGGTGGGATGGACCCCTGGGCCGCCCACCCTCCGGCCCGGCGCCGGCAAACTTCGGTAAACGGCCACACAGCCTCCGCCCCGGGTGCGTGCTTCTGCCCGGCGGGACAGAGCGGCTGCGGGCAGCGCCATCAGTGAACGAGCGCGGCCGTGTTCCAAGAAAACTTTATTTGCAGAAACGAGCGGTGGGCCGGTCTGCCGGCCCCGGGCAGACTCCTGGTTCCTTAAGGATCTCAGCTGCCGAAGGAGTTCGCCGGGAGGACGGGTCCACCGGTGGCACCAGGCTGGGGAGAGTGACGTTCGGGGTGGGGAGCGTCTGGGAGCGGGGCCCTCTCCGCTTGCTCAGGCTGTTGTCCGGGTTTGCAGGACGGGTGCGTGGTTTTCTACAACGGCTTTTGCACATTTATTGCCGATTTTTGCTCACTTTTTTTTTTCTCTGTCGTGAATAATCTTCATTATATTTTTCCAGCTGGTTCTTGCTGGGAAGCATGTTTATTTCTGTCTGATTTGAGCGATGTCTGTCTGAGCCCTTGTTCGTGCTAATAACTGTTGGCTGGATTCTGTGGGCTGGCACTGCCGGTAGGTTTTCCTGGGAGATGGACCCGCCCAGAGTCACACTGTCCGGCCTACTGCCCGTGGCCGCTGAGCCTTTGAAATTCAGCTGTCGTGATGGAGCGATTGAATCTTTACTTTCTTAGAAAGATTTTATGTATTTGTTTGAGAGAGAAAATGAGCACGAGCAGGGGAAGGAGAAGCGGACTTGCCGCTGAGCAGGGACCTCGACGCAGGGCTCCATCCCAGGACCCTGGGGTCATGACCTGAGCCGAAGGTAGAGGCTTAACCCACCAAGCCCGTAGGTGCCCCAGTGAAATCTTCAGATTAAAAAAAAAAAAAAAAGGTTTTTGGGGGATTTCTCTACGCTGTTGTTTTCAGTACACTGAACCTTTGAGCCGTGGCGGGGCTGGGGCTCTGGCCTCCCCGCCGGCCAGAAA